GATCCCTTAAATTGTGAATTTCAGCTCAAAGCATGGGTAAGGAATTCTCCATTTCAATAACCTCCCATCCAATTCTGCAAACTCTTCTCGTAGAATGAGTCCTTTTTCCTAATGTTAAGATGTTTCCCACCAGACACTGTTTTCTGTCCCTGAAGTCTGTCACCTATATTGCTCAGGAGAAAGCTAAAAAACCATATATGTGGGGGGGGAAAAGCAAGAAACTATATGTGTAAATGGATTAATAGTGTGTACATGTATGTGAACATTGGCAGAAAGAGAAATGAGGCATCTGTGTTTACTCCTGACTTTTGATGTATCCTCCTTTTCCAGGCCCTGATTACGTTTGTTTGAGGAAATGTGACCTTGTAAGGAAAAGGAACTCTTGCTCTTGCTAGAAGGATCTTGAATTGGGGGAAGATGAAATCTAACAATGTGTCCTCCCTTAGCCCAATTTTTTACCTCTTGACCCATGAAAAATTTGATATTGTAATTCATTATATAGTTTGGTAGTGATAGGGCTCGGATGGGTAAGAGCATATACAAGAAAGGCAGACTTCAAAAAGTTTTCTTGGTTTTTTTTTAACTACAGGTAGTCCTCGACTTACGACGGCAATTGGGACCGGAATTTCCATCGCTGAGCAATATGGTCATAAATCACGACCACATTGCTTAGCAACGGCAATCCCTGCAGTCCCCATTGCCATCATTAACTGAATCCCACAATCATTAGGAGAGGCAACTTCCTGCTGGCTTCCCACAACCAAAGTCAGTGAGGAAACTGGCAAGAAGTTACAAGTCCCAGGCCCGCAGGTAGCTAAGTGGCTGCTGCCCAGTGGGAGAGAGAGGGAGTGCATGGGGGTGCGGAGGAGGGGGTGTGACAGGGGTGGGGAGGATGCATGAGGGTGCAAGGGGGTGTGTGAGAGGTGCTGCACAGATCAGAGAGGGTCGGTGAGGGTGCAAGGAGGTGCATGAGAGGCACCATGCGGATAAAGGAGAATGCGCAAGGGGGTGCTCAAGAGGACTGGGGAGGGTGCACTTGGGTGCGGAGCAGGTCAGGGAGGGTGTACAAGTGGGGGGCATGAGCACAGAGGGGCTGGGGAGGGTGTGCAGGTGGGGGAGACCTGCAACCTTCCCTGCCAGCTTCCCAATTGACTTTCTGGCAGGGAACGTTGCAAATGGTGATCACATGATTGCAGGCCACTTGGCAACCAGTTGTAAGTGCAAACGGGTTACAAGCACCCAGATCGCAATCACATGACATGGGTGCTGGGATGGCTGGAACTCTGAGGACCAGTTGTAACCATTTGTTCAGTGTCATCATAACCTGGAATGGTTGCTGACTGGTCATATGTCAAGGACTACCTGTATATTACAGATAGTCCTCGCTTAACGACTGTCCTGTTTAGTGACCATTTGAAGTTACGATAGCACTGAAAAAGAAACTTTATGACCAGTCCTTGCACTTATGACCACTGCAGCATCCTCATGGCCATGGATTCAAGATTCAGGCACTTTGCAACCTGTGGGTGTTTATGACCATCACAGCGTCCCATCATTGCCATTCGCACACTTCACAGCTGGCTTTTGACAAGCAGAGTTAATGGGGGAGCTAGCAGTAAAATCACAAGTCACGGTCACATGATGTCTCGCTTAACAACTGTAGGTGATTCGCTTAACAATCACGGCAGAAGTGAGGTCATAAATCCATCATGGTCATGTGATGCCTTGCTTAACAACTGCATCTTAACAACAGAGTTGCCAGTCCCAATTGTGGTCATTAAACTACCTGCATACCTATTTTAGGCCTTGCACAAAAGTTTTCATGTATTTCCTCTGCTACTAATTTTCAACAATAATATTCAGAGAATCATCAAGGCTTGCAGGTTACCTATGGATGGCATCCTGATCACAATCATCACACGTAGTAAAAAGATACATTTCTCAGACACTGATGAAAACTTCTATCATGCCACAAGAGGACTGAAACGGTACTACTTCTTCCTCTTCCCTTTTTGGAAAGACAAAGGACTATTTTATCATTTCAGTACTACATTGCCACCAAAAATAAAGAAAACAGCTGAACCTCTCTTCACATGAAAATCTGCTTACTTGAAGCCATTGGACACATTTTTTAATTAAATTCAACTCATAAAATATACTTAGAAAATGGTGTCTAAACATGTGCTTCCTATTTTGGAATTATGTCCACCTTTCAGCAATAATCCACACTATCTTCAATTCTGGAAAGTAGAAGGATCTCATAAGGCTTCAGCAGTATGCTCTCAGCATGATCTACAGATTTTTCTCTCACTGATATGCTACAAAACCCAGTGTCTGCTGTTTGTATACTACTCCCCCAACAAAATCCAAATAAAGGTAGTTGTCAGTTAACTATGGTTATTAGGACCGGAATTGCCATCGCTAAGTGATGCAGTCTTAAAGCACGACATTACATGACTGCGCTGCTTAGCAGTTCCAGTAGTCTCCAGTTACTGTTGTTAAGTGAGGACTATGAGGGTTATTAAGCGAGGACCTCAAGTGATTGTGACTTCCAACTTCCTGCCAGCTTCCCCAATGACTCTGCTTGTGGGAAGCCAACAGGGAAGGTAGCAAACTGTGATCACATGACTGCTGGATGCTGTGATGGCCAGAAATCTGGGCCGGTTGCCAAGTGCCTGGATCACAATCACATGACAAGGGCACTGCACCAGCCAGAACTTTGAGGACCAATCCTAGCTACCACTTGTTCAGCACCATCACAAGTTTGAACGGTCGCTGAACAAGTGGTCATTAAACAAAGACCACTTGTAACTTAAACCATTCAACCTGAAGAACCATTCAACCTAAAGAACCTAAATAATGCAGCTCTACTATAACACACTGTTAACTTCCTGGTGTGTACATACAGCAAGGGAAAAATAAAAGGACAATAGAGGGTTTTACTTTCTAAGCATATCAATGTCACTGCCCTATGTCTGTAGTCCAGGGGCACACGTATTCACCAAACCCTTTGTTGACAGCATATATTGTCAGCATAAACTCTGGAATTAAGGCAATCTTAGCATTAAAAGGGGTTGGTAATGGCACATACATCCTGGAGAAGGCCTATTTTTGTGGCTGTTAACAGTTGACAATGACCTGATGGCACATAAATAATAAACTGTGCATACAGCCTTACTGTGACCATCTGTAGCTATTTTAAAAACAAAAATATCCCTACGTCACCTGAACATTTGTACTTTCATTTGTGTGCAAATGCATACCATTTGCTGTAAAACTATAATTACAACACTTAAAATATTATATGAATTATCATATTACTCATTACCAGTACAATGTTAGTGATTCAGTTCAATAAGAAGTATAATCATCAACTCTCTCTATATCTTTTGTAAGAAAGCCATAACATGATGCAATAAGTCTCTTTTTAAATTCAAACTATAGTACATTGCCAGAATTTAGTTTTGTTTTTAAATCCTACGCCTTATTAAATTAAATCAATGATCTAACAAATTATATTTCTTCATATGCTAAACCTTATCTTTAAAAAATGTGCTACAAACTCCTGATAAAAATATTCTTTCTTTAGAATGCATAATTTCTTCTCATACATCTCTTAAGGATGCATTGACAGTAACGTATTTCATTTTCCAAACTGTTTTTATATTTATTAATCACTCTGCTTTCTTAAATAACAAACAAAATTCAGCATGCATTTGGTCTATGTTTTTATATTAGTCATAATATATATCTTTTTTGTTTTTAAGGCCACAAATCTGGGAATAAATTTCAGTTAGTTCAACAATACTTACTTCTAAGTAGAGGTATATAGAATTACCTACAATATTAGGGTTCTTTAACTGAAGTAGCTCCTATAAATTATATATAGTCAGAAATTTTCTTGAAAACATTTATTGTTAGGAGTAGCCAAAAGGATACAGCCATATCTTCAAGATTACATATTCCCCATCCATTTGCACTGGCCATAATGATTAAGACAGTGAGAATTACAGTCCATTGAATTAATGATGCTCATAATTATGCTTTTAATTTGTGTTGTATTTTTATTGTTAGCTGCCTGGAGCTTCATTTTTTAAAACAGAAAGGCAGGGTAATCCACCAAATAAACAAACAACCTAAATATCTGGAAAGCACTAGTTGCCTATCCCTGCTTCATAACATTTAACAAAGATTAGGGTGCAAATAATCTTTGTGTGTTTCAGAACTAAAGCTCACAATGTCATTTTCATTGTATATGGCGCTTAGGTATTACAATGCTACTCTAGAATTTCTGAAAAGCGTAAGAGTAGCTGGAGAAATATTCGTCAATTTGGCTCTGCAAAACATTTTAAAATGATGCTTCACAAAAAGTGTTGGCACAAACAAAGCATCTATTTTTGAAATGTTAAAGCCACCTGTGCAAAGCTCATGTAGGTATGTAGGTTACCTGTGTATGCATGCCCAGAAACACTTCAGCTGAGACCACCAATCAAGTGAAGGGGCTGTACTTGTGGACAGATGTGAAGACAACCAGAGACAGTTTTCCAACAGCCACACAAACCTTGCAAAGGACTTGAGTACTTCAGTGCTTTGAAGAGAAGGGCTTCATTCACACTAATGTGCTTTAAATGTACCTTTTTTTATGCTTTGGACTGATCTATTCAGCAGCCAGAGTTCAAAAATGGGTTGCAGCTTTTTATAGTTACTTACCTTTGAACAGCATTCCAGCACAGGATAGGGTGAAACGTACATATTTTATAGCTGGACTGAGACACAGCATGTTAAGTTATTAATATCCTTAGCTGAATTGAAAGAAACATAAATTATGAACTCTTTTAAGAATTAAAGAGTTAAGATCCACTTCATGAGGAAAGAAATTGGACGAAAACAAAGCAATGCCACAAGAAAAAAGAAATGATGCACAAGTTTCAATGTGTTATCCAGAAATAATAAAAATGTGGATAACAAGTTTATATGAAAGGACAGAAAAAGATTCCTACCTTTAAACCGACTGCTATAAGATCTGTAACAACACTGTGTGAAAACAAATGGGAGAAAATGGAAAAGTTAGAAAAGCAGTTATTGTACAGGCAATGATAAATAAAGCTAAAGGAAGAAAAAATATCATAAGAATGAAATGAGTTATGGAGCGTTTTTGCAAAAGAAATGGGACAGTTTAGTAACATACAATATGAAAAAGAGAGGCTTAGATAGAGCAATCAGATAAAACTTTGTACAACTAATGTTAAAGGATTCCTGTTCTTGACACACATCTATTACACAGTACAAAAGGCCCTTTTAATTGACCGGCCAAGCACACATATGGATAAATGTGTCATACTTTTTTGAAGAAAAAGTCTCTACATTCACATATAAAGAATCAGAAGAACTAAACACTAGTTATCTAATGAACCATGAAAATAAGACTGCATCCCACATTACAGCTTTAAGGATGGTCGCATTTACTAGTGAGAAAAAGTATCACTTTTATGCATTGTCTATATGTTGAATGCCATTATCAGAGATATGTATCTTTAAAAAGCTATAGTAGATATAAGCAAACAGGTAGTAATACTCTTTTAGGGAGAACGTTTTCATAAAAATAACAGATCAAGAGCAATGCCATATAATCTTATCCAAGGAGCAAGACAACTCCCAGTGCGTCCAAGCCTAATCATAGAAATATATTTCAGTAGGAATCAAAAACTATGACTGAGCTGGCTGAGGTTGTAATCCAACTCATCTGGAGGGCACCCAGCTGGGAAACACTGAATTAAATTAAGTTAAACAATGTAACTACATTATCTATCATTATATAATTATTTCTGAAATAATTATTTCTGTCTTTCTTACATCCAAACATAACTAATCCAAAATGGAGGTAACATTTTCCACAATGTACTTCTATAGATAAAATGAAAGTCTTCTACTTTCAGTACTAGTACTCTCAGACATACTCTAGCTAGAACAAAACATCACTATCTGAAGTTAAGAAAGTCTAATACTTGATTTGCTGAAATATGATACAATATCAATCAATTAACTTCCTTTCTATTACTCATACATACAACATAAATCACCATAACAATGCAGCACCACTGAGATTGCTAAACAAGAAATTTGATTGAAGAGGAATATCTATTCCCAGTAAGCATTACCTGGACAAGTAGTTTCAGACACAGTTCCACAAAAGTTTATACAACCTCTTTCTTAATTACAGTTCTTTGACAAAAGAACTATGCCTTATTGGATAAAAATGAACATTCCTGATCAGGTATCATCAAGGTGTGGTGGTCTTCAAGCTTCAATTATTTCTTTCATAATCCCTAGCTATTAGTCATTCTGTCAGGAACTTATGGGCCCTTGTCAAGAAAAAGTTCAATGAAAAAAAATCCCAAGGTCAACATAAACTGAAGCAAATTTAACACAGTATCTCAGCAATACATTTATTAACTCAGTAGAGCCTGTACATTGCTTGGTAACAGCCTTAGGTAAATCAAAACAAATGAATACCAAAAACTATTGTACACATTACAATAACTAAATTCAGACCTGAATGGAAAGGAGGAATTGACATGTAAAAGTTGTCATTTAAGAGGAGTATTACATTAATTTGCAGTTTGCTCTTGCTTAACCAAAATTAAAGGACTGAACAGCCATACATCTATACCAAGAGTTCATATGGCAAGATAGACATTTCTATAGCCAGAATTGAAGAAAAGGTCATAGGTCTCATGACCACTCACAAAGTCCCTTCTTATAATATGTAACAATCAAAATATAAGCAAAAATATTAATAATACAATAGTGTACTTTAACAGAATCAGAAAATACAATCTGAAAAAAATTTAAGCATAATAATGATTAGAATGAACTAAAACTGAAGGGAAAAAAATCTATGTATTAAATAAGCATTTACTGTGTGACTACACTATTTAACAGAAACTCCTAGACTTATTGCAATAATTGTCAGAAAATTGGTCATTTAGATCTACTTGTCCATAGCCAGAATTAGGAAGTTAATGAATGTATAAGCTTAAAGTTATAACTACAGGCCCAACTGTCAAATAAGATATGGTTCTTCTGATAATGCTGTTTAAGACTCATAGGAACAGCTAGATTTTTCCAGTGACGGAGTTCAATTGTCAAAAGTTAAGGTACAATTAAACGCTAGATATTTAATTCTGAATCTACATAGTTTGCATTTTAAAAGTTTTAATTTAGAGTATAGATTTTGTAGGAAGAGTAGACATTGTAGGAGGAGAGCTGTTTAGTCTATGGTGGCAAAAAAGCTTCCACCCAGAACACACCACCAAATCTACCATCTATAGCCAGGCTCTATACTATAACCACATTTGTTCTGACCCACTTGACACAGATGTTCAACTGATAGAATTAAAAGAGGCATTCAGGAGAGTGAACTACCCACCCAATGAGATCAGTAGACAAATCAATAGAACTAGATCAGAGAGGACCTATTAAAAGATAGACCACAGAAAAGAGAACAAAACACCACTGGTTGTCACTCAAACCACTCAAACATATTATTAATAAGCTGCACCCCGTACTGAACAATGACACTGCACTTTCTCAGACACTGGGTGGCAGGCCCATACTTGAATACAGACAACCACTCAACCTAAAGCAGTTTCTCACAAGCAACAAGAAATACCAAGGCAATGCTGCCAACATGGGAACCAGACCCTGCAACAAACCCAGATGTCTGCTTTGCCCCCACAGGCCCCAACAAGTACACAGATGATTAAAAGTGCCTCTGCACGCTCTTCCTCCAATGTGAAAATATGCCCTTCTGAATTCTACATAGGACAATCAGGAAAAACTTTGTGCAAAATAATTAATGGACCCACATTTGATATAGGACTTAAAACAAGAGCAAAATAATATCAAAGTGTTTCAACCTTCCAGGACACTCCGTGGCAAGCTTCAAAAAGTCTGTTTTGGAGAAATGGGACATTAAAAACAACATGAGTGGGAAATCAGTGAACTCCCATACAACAACATGTTTCAGCTATCTCAGAAGTCTTAACAAAGTAGGTTTTTAACACATTACAATTGTCAACTGATAAGTTATTAGAAATCTGTCTCACATATAATCTGCATCGGCATAACCAACCTTTCTTTCTCTCCCCTCACCCCAATTTAAGTCTAGCCATTCCATGCATCTGATGAAGTGAATTGCAGCTCATGAACACTCATGCCTTTTAGTAAAATCTGTTAGTCAGAAAAGGCTGTGTAATTCTGAATTGTTACTGTGTTAACAAGTCACATGCAGAACAGTTTGTATTGGGGAGCAGTCCAGAACAGCAAGAATCACAAAATGTATCAGTTCAGCTAACTCAGAAGGCCAGGTATAGCCTACATGTAGAGATGTGAATGCATGGAAATAAATCAAGGTAGGAAAGAATTTCTTCTGGGGATTTGTCCCCCGAATGAGGAATACCAATACTCCAATGATCTAAATTGGTATACAAATATATTCATCATTTTGTTTATACAAATTAAAGTGTTTAATTCTCTCTCAATCTAACATTTCTCAAAGGTGAACTTAGGGAAAATAAAATAGGGAAACTTCAGTCCATGCAACACAGAAGTCCCTGGGGAAGGAGACAAATTGTAATATTTGTATTATGCTTCTTCTGTTTAAAATTCCATTTTATCACTCAGACATTGTTTCATTTTATCATTCAACAACTATCCCATTTTTCTACATTTGTTTATCAATGTCAATGGATTGTGGGTTCTAAAAGCATCTACTGAGTACAGTTATATCTCCCAGCAAATATTTAGTATTTCACAGAAACCGGATGGCATCTTTTGGCCATTAAGGTTTAAAGAAATAATTTTAAACATTTTCATGAAACTTGTAATTTTAGATGCTCAGGAGGTATCTGTACTGCAGAGTCATTCTAATTGTATAAACATTATTGTTCATACTGTTATATTATTATAATACAGGTTTTCCTATCCTGGCAACTATTGGACACTGTGAACAGCTTCATCATGTCTAACGGTCATACTGACTGGAGCTGATGAGATATTCAGGCCCAAACACTTGGAGGGCTCCACACTGTAGTAGAGGAATGTAACTTTCATTTACATCTACAGTATAGGCTTGTCAGAACTTGCTTACCTAGGGCCTCATTTTCACAATTTTTAAAAACAGGCTAATTAACCTCCTGTTCAGTAGGCTTTCTTTAAAGATGGATATACCTGTGGAACAAATTAGCCATCATTGCCAAAAAGCTATTTTCATAATTTAAAAAATTAGATATATTGTTAGCCTTTTGAAACTCATCTGTGTTCATGCATCCACACATTTATGATGAGAATAGGAACTGCTACAATGGGTATATAATACCCATAAGCATTCTGCATCCTGTCCAAATTGGTAGCATGAAAACAATCACATGAACATTTGTCAGACTGTTCTGTCATGAAAGTTTTTTACATCATGGTAGTGTGGACTGCAGCTGCTAAGCTGTATTTTGAAGCATGTGTGCTATGTAATTTACAAAAGTTGGGAATATTCCTTTCAACCATCAAGCAAATTTCAAGTAAGTAGAACTGCTAGACCAACAAAGGGAAATCTAAGCGCCATGTCTTTTAGACACTTCATTATATTGTCAATTCCCAGCTCACTCACACTGCAGCAGTTATAGTACAGAGTGTTATTAAAGTCAGTTATTAACAATTACCTTAGATTACTGAAACAACTGAACTAAGCACAAGAAACCAAGCTAAAATGTTTAGAAACAAATTAATTTTTTTTCTGATGAATTATTTGCAACTTGAATAGATTTTCAACATTTGAATGCTTCAGTTACTTGGCATTCAGAATACCTACAAATCCAATTCCTACGCTTGTAATTCCTCTGTTCTGTGAAATTCAGGGGGCTGAGGCCCGGAGGTGTTTCTCTGTCATGTCCCCTATGTCATGGAACAAGCCTTTACATGAAAGTTCAACTTGCCCCAACACTAACAACTTTCTGGAAGCCAGTGAAGATGAAGCTCTTCCAGATGTTTTTTTAA